CTCAACCTTATGTATGATTTTCATATATTCATAACTTCATCATTAAACTGAACCTTTGTAATGTAATCTTTTAATCGAGGAAAAAAATACCACCTATGTGTTGTTGCTTGATCTGAACGCAGCTTTTTACCGTCAATTCGAGGTTTGCAACGATAGAGATAACCCCTATTAAATAAGGCATTCGGGTCGAGACAATTTATGTAATAGTTAGAATTGCAACTTCGCCCTTTTCCCTGTTTTCGAGTAAACCCAGGATGAGGACGAACCAGTATTTGGGCCGCGGGGACTGGGCCAAGATTGTTCTACATGCATGTATGTTACATGTACAGTATGCATTTAACTAAAAGTAATTTACACTCAAGGAATAATCTATTTAAGGTTATAGCTTATAATTATGTTAATCAAATCTGCCTAACTTCCTTTTTTCCTTGGGAAACATTATTTTGCACAGAGAAAGCTGCCAGACGCGAAGCTGAATCACAGTGGATTACTACAAAGCTGTGGAACAAGGACTTGGCGGCAACCATGCGCTTGATCAGATCAAATGAAACTCAGAAGAAGGCTCGCAATCTCACAAATTGTAAGTACTTTGATGCACTCTCCTGCATAAGTTACGATCACTTTTCAACTCCTAATTCTTAAAAAAAATTAAAACTCTCCCAGCATATTTCGTCTTGGAAAATATGCATCAATTGATCATTTTGTGACGGACGAAACTGATTTGAAAGTGACTGATCAATCTTTGTTTTGTTTGTTTGTTGCTTAATTACTATACAAAACTATTTTCGTTCATAGTTTAAAGTAAGATACTTCCGAAAGTTGTTATATAACGGTGGAAATATTTCTGAGATAACAATGCTTATACGAAAATACGCACTTTAGATAAACCGGTCCGTGATTCTCGCAAACTGTTTCTTGACTTTTCTCGGTAAAATTAACTTTTACAAGTCACAGACTTATTTTACGAAAAAAAAAGGAAGAGTGGACCGCACAGTTTGTGAAGTAATTTTTAAACCTGTTGTTCGTTTGTACTGTGTTTGTGTTTTATTGGTTGTGCATATTTATTACAAATTTCTTATTATCGCTCAGATCTCTTTCTAGTCTATTTGACAAGAATTACAACCACAATGATTAATTGGACCTGGCAGGACACGTTTGATCTGACGACCACTATCCTGCTGACCGATTATTGATGCACCGCTTTGTACCTCGCCATTCCTCAGGCTCACATAATAAATATCATCACCTGATTAATTCGAATGTTCTTTCGAAAATGGAGTTAAGAGAACACATGATGAGTTTTTAATGTTTGCCGCAAAGTTACCAAATTTTTACGTTCCCTTAAAGTAAAGGTCGCACTACACTATCGGTCAAATACCTGGAGACCGTTTATAAAGCTAAAGGATACGAGCCATGGTTGTTTGAGAGTTTCTGGACATGAATTTGTTTGTAAATGTGAACTTTTGTTTTTAAAATGGCAATGAAAAATTCAGTGCCAAATAGCAAATAATTCAGATTTCTTACATAAGTCCATATAGACTATGATAATGGCGCAACACTGCCTTTTTATGGCCAATATAAGGCTAGGTTTTTGTGCAAGGAGAGGTTGCTAGGACAATGAGTGAAGACCGCCATTGTTTCCGGCCACTGGTCCGTCTGTTAGTTTTTTTTTAAACATTTATGTCTGCACTCTCTTTTTGCAGTTGCATATGTGATATGTCATCGCCAAACTAAAAACTAAACAAGACTAAATAGACTATGAGTAGTCCCCCATTCTTTCTCAGAGATAGTAGAGCGAGCGGAACACGAGCGCGCGTGAAAATCACCCCACGTGGGAAAGGCGAGACGCCTTTTCTCGCGTGGGGTGATTTTCACGCGCGCTCACGTTTCGCTCACTTTACTATCCCTGAAGACAAACTGGGGACTACTCGTAGTCTACGACTGAAACTACTAACCAACCAAAACTTCCGCGACATCAAGAAACACTCCATTCAATTCTAGTCCTGATCGACACTCTTTTGAGCGAAATTGACCATACATGTCTACCAAGAGAGTAAAACGGGGCTATATTCTCTGGCTCTTGCTAGACCAAGAGAGTTAAAAAAAATAGAACAGAAAATGCGGTAACAATAAACAAGATGAAACAACGAATGTTGCAAAAAACTAAGATTTTAAAGACTTTGCGTTTCGTAATCTCGACTCTCCAAAGGAGAAGCGAAAATTTTGATGTCAAATCACATTCTCTTTATCATATTGGATAAAATGCTGTACTGAACTGCCCAGGAAGGGTAACACGATACACATTTTGATCTTTAACGGTATCGACGGAGGTTTTTTGATAAACCTGTGCTAAAATTATTCAAAGGGACACATAGTTGGTTCGACACTGTAGAATGCTCAAAATAGCAGGGATTCAAACTATCCAAAGTAAAATCTCAGTGATACACTTGGGGAGTCCACGGTGACGCAAATTCAAAGTATCCAGGGTCGAGTTAACAGTACCCTATACACTTTATTTTCTATTAACTGAACGCTTAACGCACTTCTCTTGTGTTCTACTCTACTCTACTCTACTCTGCTATGCCCAGCTTAGCTCCCTGTTTCGAATATTCTCAGCCTTACTCTTGTGTAATCTTCTCTAACATTGGGGAGCAGGGGCCAGAACAGTGCTGAGAGCACTAGCCCTAGCTGCATGTTCAATGTTGGTTTCCCCTTTCCGTCCGTGTGCGCGTGCAATATAATTATTTATGAGAAGTTTATATTTGTTAACTGGAAAGACGAAAGTGTCGGTTTCTCACAATAACGTCCATTGACCACCACAAAAAATGCCATAACATACCCATAATGCTCTTTGTTTGTCACCCCAAAGTTTTGCAGAAGCATTGTTTTCAGTTTCTTTTTGGGGCCCATTTGAACTCCCAAGGATTGAATCTAAGAGAACTGAAATGGCTTTCCTCGGGAACAAAGAAAACTGTCCGTAATTAACGTTGGGTGTCCGTACAGTGGGGCTCAAGTGACATAAAATTTATTTTCCTCAAGGGCTACACCAGAATAACACTAAATCTAAATCTTTGTTGGGAAATGGGTTTGTTCACTCGTGCAAATGACGTACCAGTTGTCAAAGTATTTGCCCTTCACAGTTCCACCAGCTTGGTTCGTTACACCAAGAAGCTCTTCGGAACAAATAGCTGGCTCACATTGTGTTTCATGCTTTCCGAAAAAGGCATAGCAAAGTTTTCATCCATACCGATCCCTGCAAGGTTCTCTCCCAAGTCAACATGTAGTCGATACCACTATTTATCAGACACAGGTCCGAATGTTTTTTAAAGCTCACTCCTTATAGGCATTTGAACAACCACTAATTTTCAGAAACAGGTCTGAATCGAAACACCTGGGACCATATTCATATATGATAAACACGGATTTAGACGGTTTTAATACGCTGTCAAAAGTTATGAAACGTATTTTCTCATTAACGTTAGGATGGATTGATGTGAGATACAGTGCAAGAAGAAGTAAAAGTAGACGCTGCAGTAACATGCTTAAGATCGTTTAGTTGGTTCCGTCAGTAAAAACTCTTTGCAATCTGCAGCGCCCTTCGTTTTTGTCGACACATGCGCTCTCCACATCAAGCTAAACCAAGCGACATTCACTTGAAAAAACTCAAGTTAAAATGTACCAGTTTTGTCTCTTAACAATTAATTACAAGTCTTTTAATTAACTGCAGACTCGCAGTGTTTTAGTCACTGAAGACTACCGGTAGCTTTTATCCTCAACGTGATATTTCCACCTTCAACCTTAATCCACTGTTTGAACGGGTAAACTTCCGCATTAATTGTCTTCGGGATTTCCTTAATAAACAAAGGCTACGTATTTTGCATAGGCGGGAGATGGGCTAGACTGTTTCAAAACAGCTTCTTAGTTTGCAAAGATCAAAGTATTGCTTTTAACTTTGTTCAGAAATTGTGCAAGGCAAATTTTTTGTATCTTGATGAAACGAGAAAGCAAACACATTCGGCAAAAACACTTCCGCTTTTACCTACTAGCAATATGTCGAGTCTTGCCAAAACACAACGCACAACGACCATCAAAAGAAAGAAAAGATTGAACCTTGGACAAAAATAAGAATCGAAGAGAAAGCACTAAATCCTCTGGTTAAGTTCGTCTGCAACAGCGCTGAAATCCTTGTTCAGGGCCCCCACCTGTGTACCATGATTTGAGTACGCGCTATGATTGGCCAGTAACCTACTGAAAAAAGGCCATTGCTAATTTGTCAATCAGGTGGAAGAGAACTGAATCGAAACGCATTTCCGGTAATTCGTTCAGTCCGCTGAGGGCTCAGAACAAGGATCTCGGCTTTGCTTCACAGACGTTACTAACCGGATTAAGATTACGTCTGCGACGCAGGCTACATTATCTACTCCTATCTTTGATTTATATTGCGGTCTACTTAGGCTGTATGACCTTCATAAGTTCAGGCATAAGAAAGCAATACTGAATATTAAAATGTAAGAATATATTATGTAAGTAACGTATTACATATGTAAAAATAGAGCTATTATTTTTCATTGTTGTTAGTCTAACGATCATAGAGATACTTAATTCATATCCGAAATTCAGCCGTACTAAATCTTCAGGAACTGTTCAGTGCTATTTTTACCAAATGTCCAGTAAGGGCTGTGCTCAGCCAGTGACCGGTGGTACCTGGCGCCTTAATCTTGCTCTTGAGCATAAAATTTTTTTTTTCCTAAACATCATATTCTAGGCACCCTGAATTTCACAATCTTCACAGGCTCAAAGCACCGGGCCCTCTTCAATTTTCATATCACAGCCATCACAGGCATTCAGATAATGTGAAAGGCACAAAGAAAAGTGCGCGCCACTCCCCACTATCTGAACGACTACTGGAACAGGCTGAGGGAACAGCTTTACCAGTAGGTTATAAAACTTTCCAACAAACAGCAGATTATCAATGATTTGGTGTACCGTTGGTTCTACAATTAAGATGATACATCGGCATCTTTCAGTTCATCGATTATCTCCTGCATGGTTGGTCTCTGCCCCGGATCTCTAATCAGGCATCGCCGTACCACGCCGCGAAACGCACCGTTCGTTACAAGCACGACTTGTTCTTCACGCTTACTAGGATCTGGAAGTTCCCGGATACACATTTCAGAAAGAAGAACACCAAAGCTGTACACATCAACCTAAAAGCAATCATAATACATGACATTACTTATTAGTTGTGTACTCATTACAAAAGGAGTTAAGGTAACACGAGAGGGAGGAACTCGAGAATTCAAAATAGATGAATATCGATAAATGGATAAGAAAAGCCTAGAAAACAGAAGATCCTTAAAAGGCTTCATGGTACGTTCTTGGCTTAAATGTTTTGTTTCTAAAAATACTAATTAACTTTTGCTATCCCGTGACTGTTGTCTTTAGACACAAGAAGGGATAAATTAAAGAATCCAATTACGTGGACCAAATCCATGAAGAAGATATGTATAAAAGAGTGAAAAAAGTGCAGAACAAGGTACAAAGACTCCTCACAAAGATATAGTCATTTCATATGTATTGTTTATAGAGTGGACATCACTTATCACTTCTGCCACTGTTAGCCTTGCTGTACAGTTTTAGTAAGTAAACAGTCTTGAATATTCACTTAAACTTACCTTGACTGTTTGGTTTGATGTAAGTGCCTCAGGTGCACTGTAAATCATAGCTCCAGGAGCCACTGTCATGGTCTGCTGTATAAAATTAGCAGTACCGTAATCAGACACTTTGGCTCTCCATTGGTCATCCTGTCGCCATAGCAACACATTCGCACTGCTGACGTCACGGTGAATGATAGGCTCTGGTTTCTTTCGATGAAGGTAGTTCAGGGCACGTGCTAAATCCAGAGAAATGACGGCTATTTCTGTCTCGGAGAGTTGCCGCTGCTCCAACAAAGTGCGCAGACTTTTCTCCATCAGCTCGGTCACAAACAGAGGAGTTCCCTCATCAATGGTGGCGCCGATAAACTGTAGTAAGTGAGGATGGCGGCATTTAGAAGCGATATTCATTTCTCTTTCAAACAGATTTATGTTATGAGGAGAAAGAATCAACTCATGGATCTGTTTCACTGCTACAGAACAGCCACAATACGTTCCCTCATTGACAATTCCCCATCCTCCCCTCCCAAGGTATTTCTCTGTGTTTTGAATTTCGTCCCTGGGAATAACCCAGTCACGTGTTTCCTGGTTCCGCAATTGATTTATTGTTTGCTGTGCTGTTGAAAGACTTAACTGTACTTCAGAAACTTGTCCTCGGCAATTGGTCAACTGTTGTCCTATCTCCCTCAGTTGCCGCTGCAACTCCACCAGCTGCCTCTGAGAATTTTCTTCACGTTGTTGAAAGTCCCTCAGCTGCCTTTGAGAATTTTTTTCTCTTTCCTGAAGCTCTCTCAACAACCGCTGCATATTTTGTTCACGTTGTTGAAACTCCATCAGTTGCCTTTGAGAATTTTTTTCTCGTTCCTGAAGCTCTCTCAATAGCCGCTGCATATTTTGTTCATGTTGCTCAATATCCGTTAGGTGGCTTTGAGAGTCCTGATACCGTTCTTTAACCACTCTGAGTTTCCTTTGTAAATCCTGCTCGCGTTGCTGCATCTCCCGTTTCTGTCTCTGGAAGTTTTCCTCACAGCGCTGAAAATCCCTCCACTGACTTTCTATTTCTGAGGTTCGCCTTGGCGAATTTGCTTTGCGTAGATTTTGTTTTTTTTCTAAAAAGATAATTCATGATCAAAAATAAAACAAGGCAATCATGAAAATCACCCAAGTAACATGGGCAACCCGATTAAGTGTCACCTAAGAAAGAAAAATTAAAAATTTTGACTTCAAAGAAAATTTTAAATGTACTGCCTTCCTCTCTTTAAACTGAGCGACACATAAGCTTAAGAGATACTGATGAAGAAGATGAAAATCAGAATTTCGTTTCGCTCCAATTGTCACTAAATAATTATGGCTTGCTTGTAAACTCACACAAAATATTGAAATGTGTGTCCAAGAATAGCCCCTTCTTTGAACGAGCACTCATTTTTCCGTTCAGATGAACCTTAAATCAGTCGATTGATATCAAAACGTTTCGACACGATCCAGTCCGAAATTGAAATCACGCCCGCATTTTTACTCTAACTGCTTATCCCATAGGACATTGCATCTTTTACCGCACAGCGGAAACAGTTTTTACCAACTGCCAATCTTGAGAGACCTTCAGGAACGAGAAAAAAATTCTCAAAGGCAACTGATGGAGTTTCAACAACGTGAACAAAATATGCAGCGGTTGTTGAGAGAGCTTCAGGAAAGAGAAAAAAATTCCTAATTCCTAATTCTGTTAGTGACATGTCCCCTCCCCACTACTTTATCGGTCTTCCTCTCTCCTTTTCTCATCTATCTTTCCCTCCAAGATGATCTTTCCCAAGCCCTAATTTCTTTACATTGGCCAAAATACTTAAGCTTTTGTTTCTTTTAAAAAGGGTAACTTACGAGTTCAAAAAAACAATACACTAAATCTGGAGTGCAAAGACATCCGTGATGAGTTTTTAGAAAACCTGAATTTTTCCATATAAATTTTCTGTAATTTTGATACTGTGGAATTGCAGAAAATGTATGGGAAAATCAAGCATCAAATATATGAATTCAGGAAGAATTAGCGGGCTTTGAATTCCAATACAAATCTTTGAATTTCCCTCCATCTTGCCCTGATTACCTACGATGCAACTATGAGCGTGAACTCCTCTATACGAGCCCACATTATACTAGATTAAACTTTTGTAAGTGTATTTTCTGTTCTGCACGATGAGGACTAAGGATGTGCTGCGAGATTTGCCATTGCTATTAAATTTGCATTTGCATGTCAGCATTTGTGATTTGCTCTTTTAATAGTAATAAGCTTATGTGTTACATTAAGAGAACTATTTCAGTAAAAACTCTCCCTATATGTGTAATAAACAGCTCACGTCTTAGAAAGTGCTTTGTACAAGGTCATATTCACGAGTTGTTTGTGTCAAAAGCCCTCACTCGCTCGTATCTCGGTCGTTCGGGTTTTGACACAAACAAGCTCGTGAATATAACCCCGTACAAAGCACTTTTTATGACGTAAACTACATTTTTGATAAGAAAACTACTGAGGACGATTCAGGATCTGAGGGGAAATTTTGGCGGCGGAACCGCCAGCGCGCGAGAAAAATGAGGCGAGGAAGCAATTTTCATCAATCGATTTGTGAATTACAGACTAATGCAGTTGACTGAAAGCTTTCATTTAGTCTTAAATATGATCTGATTTTTTTTACTCTAAATCACTAGAATAGGGGCTGGCCGGATACCATGCTCTTCTTTGTTGCTTTAAAAAAGAAGATCAATGTTGTTCTAGTAGTCTACCCCTCTTGACACTGTTAACAGCGAACAATGTTTTGACGCGAAGATTCCCGGTCGACAAAATTTATAAGCGTTAATAGCGGAGCTCCACGCGCGCGCGAAGCGCGCGCGTTGGCGGAGCCCCATTGCTAAGTAAATCTACCCATCCCAGAAAATTTGGTAATCACGTGACCGTACACCGACCGCCGACCGCCGACCGACCGTCCGTCCGCACCACAGGAAAACCAATGTTTACTCTCACATTTTAGCTAGTTTGGGAGCCCAAGAGAAAACTAACTTCACATCAATGTTGTGATCAATTGACAGCTGTCAAAACAGGGCATCCGCTGACCAGTATCACCCGACCGTAGCGCGGGCTCAAGTGTCGACCCATCGAGGTCGAGTATTTTTTGAAGTTATCCGCTGACAAATTACCAGTTTGAAATGATCGCAGGCTCAAGTTTATTTTTTCCAAGGATTCATATCAAATATGTTGTGTTTATGTCACTATGGCCCCGCACTATTAGAATTTTGATTTCAAACTGACTTCGGAAGCGAAAATTCAGCCAGTTTTTTTAAAAGTACAGGCGGGGAAGACCTTATCTTACCATGGTCACGCGTCGGTCACGCTCTACGTCCAATTTTTATACTCTGATTGGTCAAAATTTGACAGGTGAGTTCATGCGAAAAAATTATGCAGCATCTTGAAAATTGTTTACTTTGACAGCTGAAGCTGAAGAGTTTTGTGTCAACTTGTAATGTTTTTAACTGTCTTTTTCTTCTGGATGTACAAAATGAAATACAGCTGCTATCAAGAGTCTTCTGTTATTCATGGCTGGTTTGTTTACTGGGTTTTTGGTTGAGGAACGCGTCGCTTGTCAAAATTTGGTAATTCGATTTCGGATGGCATCGTTTTCGTTTTTCACCTTGCTTAATGCTTAAGAGGGTTTAAAAGTCTCAAGCAACTGTTGCCTTCCTTGATAGCTTTCAGGAACTGAATCTCGAATGGTAAGCCTGAGTAACTATTGTATTTGATGTTTGTTTTTGTTATATCTAATTTCATGAAGTCTTGCACATTCACGCTGACAGTTGATGCGGCAGGTTTATGTACGTTTGTAGCCGTAGTTTGAGTTAATGATCTGACCTAGTATCAGGTTTGAACGGTTTGATATAAGCTTACAGAACTTTAAAAAGCCTTCAGATATATTTGCTCACCACAGATAGAAAACGTTCCGAAGAATATTTAGTTATAAATTTGGCTGTAGAAAGAAAACTTTGAGCGATTTTCTTGCTTCGAGGAGTTCACCTTGGAAAACAGTAAACACCCGCGCCGGGAAGCCGGCTTATAAAGCTTCACGCCGAGACTCAGGATTTTTAGAGACACTTTAATACTTGTCTTCATGAATGAAAATTGTTATCTCTGTAAATGTTTCACCGAATTATATTTCTTTTTTTGATTGTTAGTAGTCTCTCTTGCAATTTTAATCGCTTTTAGGATTTTTAGAGACACTTTAATGCTTGTCTTCAAGAATGAAAATTGTTATCTCTGTAAATGTTTCACCGAATTATATTTCTTTTTTTGATTGTTAGTAGTCTCTCTTGCAATTTTAATCGCTTTTAGGATTTTTAGAGACACCTTAATACTTGTCTTCAAGAATGAAAATTGTTATCTCTGTAAATGTTTCACCGAATTATATTTCTTTTTTTGATTGTTAGTAGTCTCTCTTGCAATTTTAATCGCTCTTAGGATTTTTAGAGACACTTTAATACTTGTCTTCAAGAATGAAAATTGTTATCTCTGTAAATGTTTCACCGAATTATATTTCTTTTTTTGATTGTTAGTAGTCTCTCTCGCAATTTTAATCGCTTGTCTGTGCCGTTTGTTTTCATCGTTCATGAACATCGCTTGCAGGAGTACTCAAAAATGTCGCGCGTATCAAACGCTTTATAAGATTACACATCGTTGTAACTGAAACCATTAAATAACAAAAAAAAATAATAATAAATTCGCTATTATGTTGAAGTGAAACGCTATTAAAGTTCATTCAAACACTCGACCACACTGACAGCTCGCACTATAGAAACGAGAACCGGCTAGCCATATGGGTGATTTTGGAAATTTTTGAACGGTTTCGCTTTACGATTGATCGTCCTGAATATTGACTGAATGCAATTTGTCTTGAAAAATTGTGAAATACTGCATTCTGTCCGAGGTCTGTGCGATAAATAGTACTGTTTCACCTCAAATGTGATGTATAAAAATTATAAAAGGTTGGTTTAAACACCCCCAGATTTGTTGGCAAGAATTTGTGAAGTAAACCTCTCGAACGCAAAAAAATTCGGCGTGATTTGTTTTCCAAGAATTTGTTTTCGAGGCCTAATCTACTGTGATCTTGAATGTGATCGAAGATGTTTGCTATTTTTTGGGTGTACATATAAGGTTATCAATTCGATGTAAGATGTTTCACTCTAAAATAACTTAGCCTTTCCCTCAAAAGTCACATGAATGTGCCCTGAAGTTAAATGATTTGTGGATTAAAAGTTTATTTTTTAATTTAAATTATAAATTTATTAATTGGAGCTTCGCTTTTAGCCCTGGCTAAATCTATATATTAGCGGAGCTCTGGCGCGCGAAGCGCGCCTGCGGAGCACCATGGGTAAGTAAATCTACCCATCCCAGAAAATTTGGTAATCACGTGACCGTACACCGCCCGCCCTCCCGCCCGCTGCCCGTCCGTCCGCACCACAGGCATACCAATGTTTACTCTTACACTTTCTAGCTACTTTGGGAGCCCAGGAGAAAGCTGATTGCACATCAATGTTGTCATCAATTGACAGCTGTCAAAACAGGGTATCACCTGACCGTATTGCGGGCTCAGGCGTCGACCCATCAAGGTCGAGTATTTTTTGAAGTTATCCGCTGACAATTTACTCGTTTTCAAATGATCGCAGGCTCATGTTTACTTTTTCTAAAATTCATATCAAATGTGTTGTGTTTATGTCAGTATCGCCACGCACTATTACGATTTTGATTTCAAACTGACCTCAGACGCAAAAATTCAGGCAGTTTTTTTAAAATACAGGCGAGGAAGACCTTTTCTAACTATGGTCACGCTCCACGTCCAATTTTTATGCTCTGATTGGTTAAAATATGACACGTGAGTTCATGCGTAAAATTTATGCAGCATCTTGAAAGTTGTTTACTTTGGCAGCTGAAGCTGACAGAGTTTTGAGTCAACTTGTGATGTTTTTAACCGTCTTTTTCCACTGGATGTCAAAAATGAAATACAGCTGCTATCAAGAGTGTTCTCTTATTCATGGCTGGTTTGTTCATTGGGTTTTTGGTTGAGAAATGCGCTTCTTGTCAGAGC